CCCCCCCCCGGCGACTTAGAGCATCAGCACGTTGCTTGTCAGTTGGTTAAAACCAGAGTGATGACCTTGTCTCGTAAATTGGTTTTTAGGAAGAGGGTTTGAAAAAGCACGTGTTTGCTAAGTCATTGAAAAATCTACAACTTGACGGACATGGCAAAATAGGCTACACTTACAAATGCTTAGGCGCTGGAATTTGGTCATTGAGGCAAGATGATTTTCGTGCTGCTATAGAGGATGTGGCATTTGAGGTACGTCTGACGCCTGGAAGCAATCAATATCTTATTGGATTTTTGTTGTTAAAAATTATCGTTTTGATGAGTGTAAATGAATTGTAGTTTCTACGGAGACTTTGTCTGAATTGCTAAGGGAGTATGAAAAATCCTCTTACTTTACGAATATTGTGTCTCTATGTGTAAAATATTTTAATCTACTACTCATACCACCACCACTTTACTTAGTTAAGAGAACTTTGGGAGTTTGTAGGAAAAATGCTCACGATACTCAGAAATTTTGTGAGTATCTTTGAAGATACTGGTGCGATTTTATTTGATATATATATAAGAAAGTCATTTAAGCGTAAATCTTGATTTACTGCAAAATTCAGTGAAGGTTAAATCAACACGTATTTCTAACTGGTTCTGTATATTTTCTTTTTTCACGCACTAAATTACGGACCTACATTTCTTCTCAGGCTGGAGACGCTGACACAAATGGTGCTGTAGCGGGGGCGCTGTTAGGCTGTAAACTGGGTGCCAGTAAACTGCCGGAGTCTTGGCTCAATAACTTGCTGAATAAAGCGTGGCTAGATGAGAAGATTGAGAGGTAAGTAGTACGTTGTGGAATTGCTGAAAGGTTCTGAACACTTTTAAAATAGAGCCCACACAATGCAAAGAAAATTGCTGTGCATTTCAGGCAATAAAACCCTCACACTAAATCTCGAATGATGTACACGTGGAACAAGACAAGCGCGATCAGATTAGACACGCGTGCTACTATAGCTGGTGCAGTACGTCACGTGCGATGTCACGTAAAAAGTGCAATTAATAAACTGGCTAAGCTGATAACATTTGATAAATCATCGCAAATACTTCCGAAAATGTCTGTAATATAAATCTTTATAACTGTGTCAATACTGCCGTGTATACGGGGATAATAATTCGTGCCTTACATAGGACGCGAAGTGGACTGTTCCTAGGAGCGCGGCTTACTAAGCTGCGAAGTACTCTTACAAATGGCTCTCGGTTGCGCGAGTGGTGGCCAGCGCAGGAAAAACGCACAAGCGCGGGAAAAATTGCGCTTGCACAGTGTAAGTTTGCGCCTTACTTAAGCCGCCATGCCATTAATACCAGTGGTTTCGCGTCTAATAAAAGCTGTGGCTTGTTAAGACGTTCTCAATCCTTCCCATCCTACATAAGCTACAGCTTTGAAAGCGGGAATGTACCATTTTATACTGTGAGTTTGCGTCTTATGTATACTGAGGATTGTTGTCCGCCTAAAATCAGCCCTAATGTTGTAAACCTTGCTTATTACACTTAGTTGGCGTAAAGTCGGCGGAAAGTAACGTTATATCATTTATATATATATATATATATTATTTTTTGGGGTTTTTTTTTTTTACATTTTCAAACAAAGTAATTTTACCTTTTTTAGGTTCCTGGCTCTACTTGGTCTGAGTGAGTGAAGAATGAAAAACAGCGCCTTATTTGGCACTTAAAATCCAATTTTAGATGCTCTTCAAAAGTACTTCATATTAGATCCGAGCTGATATTTCTAAAATTTAAAGGGGATATGTTTTCTTAACTTTTGACATAATATTGTTTTTGTTTTTGGATTATTATGGAATGCGCATTGATACTATTCATATGTTGATTTGCGCAGTACAAGCCCTAAATTATTATTTACATTTCAAATTTTAACTTATAGGTGTAAAAAATAAAGAGATTAGTGCCTGCGCTAGAAAATCAAACAGTTTTAGCTTCATGTTAATGTTCTAACACACCTGCACACCCACACACATCCACCCCCCTGAGAAGTATTATGACAGAAGTCATCAAACTCAGGTAACAGTTTAAGTATGTTCCCTAAAAATGGAACTAAAAATGCTAGATTAATGGGGGACAAAATACGTAAGTTGAGCACTCCCAAATATATATGGAGATGTAGTTAGTGTATGAAAATATTAATAAAACTCTGGACGTAACCTAAAGGCAAGTATTAAGTCAAATAACTTTTCCTCAGTTCAGAAATTCCTCAGGTGAATTAACGACAGTCACCAGAGAAAGCAAAAGGCAACCTATCAAGATTGGTGCGTAATGAAAAGATGGCGCGCAAGGTAAAAGAAAATGTAGACATAGGCGCATAGAGGAGAAAAAGAAATATAAATTATAGGCGCAAGAGAGAAGAGGCAATTCGAGGAAAGGCGCAAAAGGGGACACATTCTTGGGATAGAGTGCACGAAAAAGAAAACCTTTTGAGCTCACGTTCATTCCATGTTTGCCTCAAGAAGCGCGAGAGAGTTGGGGACGAGTCACAGTCGCACGTGACAAAGGGTACGACGAGAAGGCAGTTTGCCCAGGCTTCCTTTCGGGAAGACTTAGGAAAAGTCAGTCTATGTGTAAGAGACGCGAAATAGAGAAACACACAGCAAAGAACCGTTTTATTTTTATTTTTCTTGCTCAAGCTACTACAGCACTTAATGGTGCTACGTAAATATACGTGTTTACATCTTGACGCACTGCTCAAGAGGAATCTTAATGCCTGGGAAAATTGTAATCTCTGCAGTCTTCTGGCATACTAATCCATCCATACAGCCACAGCGATGTAAATCCTGAAAAAAGGAACACATCCAACAACCTTTTCATGCGATTTACGAGGCGAATCAAAGTCATAGGCGAAAATATTCTAGAATAAGGCTAGCCGTATTTGTGCGTGCGCACTGTAGATGACTTAAAAATGATACCATAAGCGTGCGTTGAATATAAGATTGTAAATAGCCAACCAACATTATTTGTTGGTCGTGAAAAAAAATTAATCGTAACAGGTTTTCCTCTCTGGTATAATGTGTCATTTTGTGTTATTTTGGGTTAACCGTAACCGTAGACTTGCCAAAATTATAAGCGTTAGCCGTAAAAGCCATCACCCTCGTGAGACCCCTAACAATGAAGGGTAACGATGAGAGAAGATTTAAAGAGATTGCAGAGAAAGCCCAGGTTTGGATTTTAGTACCTTGAAGTTGCAGGCGCCGTCTTCTGGGATTTTCGGGAGACAGCGCTGGATCACAATTGGACAACAGAAGTTTGGGGCGCAATCAACGTCGGATTGACATTTCTAGTTTACAAAACAACAAAAGTGAGCCTCATACTCAATTATACAATAGGATCTGGGTTTAATAATACCCTACATTAATAAATAGTTACCGTCAAACGTGCCGTTCAAAATGGGCGTGGTTTCTTCTAGGAAAGGAGCTGTTGATGTAGTCTTTATCAGTTCAAAATAGCAATGATTAGTTAAGTTTTTGGCTTTTATTGTTTTGATATCCATTGGAAGGTAAACTGTCATTTAATCTTTATTCTCTTCCCCTGAAATCGATATCATCTCGCACAATAGGGAAACACGACTGTCTCTGGAAACGAAACTTGTGGTTGGGGGGTATGGTACCTTGAGTCCAAGATTCGTCCATACTTTCACCTATTCGCACCTTTTTTTTCTACCCACAAAGGAATCTGGGACGGGGATTAGGGTGCGCTAAGGCGCTTGGGAAGGAGAGAGAAAAAGTGGTTCAGTTTCGCTTTCTCCTTCCGTCATTCCCTCGGTGGAACACGAGCCCGCTTAATCCTTCCCATCAATCACTTCACGAATAAGGAAAAGCGACTGGGTACGAGTCTGATCCACTTTGCGCTTATTCCCCAGGATGTGTTTGCGAACGCCTTGGGAGGCGGCTGGTTTCAATTCCTTCGTATCGCAATGATCTGAAGGAAGATCATTTATTTCATATGGGGTGGTGGACACCCCTCTTAGCTTCGCTCCAGTTACCGTGATAATTCCCAAGAAACGCTTGACTCTGTACGCTGCGTTTGCTGCATTGTTCTGCTCCTCGGGGTCCACGTTGATGGTCTCGATATTAATCTTCTCATCGTCTCCCATGCATTGCTTGACTGGAACAGTTTTGCCATCCACGATCATTTGTTTGGTTAATCTGCACGATAGTCCGGGTTGGCAAGAGCAATCAAGCCCCTGTGGAAGAGAAAATAAACCGCAATCAAAGCTCATTAGAACAGGTGTCGCGAAACCAATTCATACGAATCAGTGCGCCACGACGGCCATTCTCGACCCAGGAAAATATCCCGATGAGAAATCAAAGTAAATTATTGTTAGCGGTCTGCAGCGCGGGAAAGCAGAAGTGTTCAAATTGCGATTAGTTTTACCTTTGGTTTTGATTGGTTGAGGAGATGGTAGGAGTATTTTAGACCAATCATAGAGCGATGTGACGTATCACCAATGTCGTCCTGATTATGTGCAGTTTCTTTTTTTTTTTGTAGAAGAAGCAAATTCATGAAAATTCTATTTACTATTCTAAGATGATTACCCCCATTTTCAAACTCACCTCATTGTTGCAAGCCTCAAGCCTCTTGAGATTTTCACATGCCTGGAAAATGATGATAACACGAATACATTTTTTATGGAGATAATTTGGCCACAGTAAAGAGTTTCGAGCCTAGCCCTTCGTGAAAGTCAAAAGCAAATATCCATATTGACAATAAAACCTGTTGCACTTTTGAAAAATCAGCAGATAAAAATGAAATATTTTACTTCAGTCCTATTTAAATATTTTGTTGTTAGATATGAATCAGCGCATGATAGAAAAGAAATGTTACAATCTACAGGTTTCGCATCTTAAAGGAAAAAATTTTTTTTTCAATCTATCTGTAATGATAATTTATTTAAGTCTATGTTCATTTTGCTTTTTCTTAAATGTTGAGGTTTCCAAAGTCTAAATTAGATTTATTAATTCTTGCGCACAATTTGTTCATCATAGGCTGCGCTATTCGATCATCACTATAGAATGTGAAAGGGACGGATCTTGGCGGTCGTTAGTATTAAAGATATCCAGCAGATATTGTGGCAAAAAATAGGGAAAATCATGAACTAAGTCTAAAGCAATCATTAGTTTTACGCTTCACAATTAGTAAAGTCTGACATAAAATGATCCAGAAACTTACCGCAGAAGCAAGGGCAAAGCAGATACTTAAAACAACAAAAATCTTCATAATTTCTGACTTGAAGAAATCAACGTAGAGCTTGATCTTGTTGAGAAATTCGCAATTGGTAGAGATAAGCTCTGAAAACTGTATATATAGCTTTCCGTCTCAAGACACAAAGTTGTGCGAGTGTTTTTAAATGCTAAGTTCAAACGAAAAAAGATTTCGGTTTGAAATGAAGTTTATACAACTGCCTGGAAAAAGCTATCGTAATTTGATATATCAACAAAACTTTCTGGCAATAATTTAATAACTTCATTGTTGTATTTTGTCACAACACACGCCTTTCGCAAACCTTCTCATTACACGACGTTAAAATGTGTTAGAAAATTGAGCACTTGGTATATTCTTTATATTTTCAGTGGATTTCTGAACCATTTTAAGCCTTCGGTAATATTAAACAAGGAAACTCTTCACAAAAGAAGAACTTGAAAAACAAGCACTATAATTTTTACAAGAAATATTAAAAGATAAATTTAATAAACACTTTTATCAGCTGAGAAAATTCAGGTCATGCCTTCAAAGAAACCGACTTTAAATATACGTTGTGATATAAAGATAATTTTTTCTTGTTTCTACTGTTTATACTCAAATTTGTCATACAATTGAGGATCAATACCATTTTGTTGACATAATCTAATAGCAATTTTGTCAAGTCTTTGGTAAGTTGGCACAGATGTGTGAAACAGTTTACTTTTGAAACATTATTTGTTATCAAAAATTTCAAATGTAAATATTCATGATCAGCGATTATGATATGTAAGGCCATCCTTCGAAAACAGAACGGCTCTCTGAATTTTTAGGGATTCCGCGGCCAGAAATTTCATATTTATAACAGTCACCCCTCCTTCTCATATGTAAAAACATGCTTGGTCAAGTGATGGGTTTGCGTAGCCAATCAGCTGTTACATTTGTGCATCGCTTTATCAAACTTCATATGCTCCCTTTTGAAAATTATCTCGATCTGTGCTATGGAGAAAAAAGGTTTCTGACGAATTCCTCCACTAGGAAAGAAGCCCAATTGAAAGGGTATTCCCGTTGCTACTGTAGCTAAAAATTACCCTTGCCCATTTTGGGTTGAAACTCAAATGCACACGTGCAGAAACGAAAATTGCACGAAACATTTTTCATTGCTCTGAAACTTAAACCACAGTTCATGCTATCGGTGGGAAGGAAATAATCAGGCCTTTTTTTGGTTTAACACATTTATTTTGGGTCTAACAACCAAATTTTCTCTATCAGGGTTTATTCATCCACAACTCAAGCCAAGCGCCGTTTTAGGCATCCATACACTGCCTAAGGGAGAGCTTCGTTCCTGTGATAGGAAGCGTGATGTGAGCAGTCTCCTTACATTCTAGTCCATCTGCGCAGCCGCACTTATGTATGCCCTACAGAACAAACAAAAAGCATAATTCTATTATATCACAAGTTTAAGGAGGAAACATTTTGTTGTAGTTGCTATGAACCTTGTTACCATAGGATCAATATTGTAAATTGTGAAGTCAAACGCGAGAGAAACTCATAAAGAACGCGTTCTGCTGATTACTCGACCCAGACTTCGCGCAGAGAACGAATTCCACAGAGAAGCCAAAATTATCAGCGACCGGTTATAATTTATTGCCTGAGGGGGGGAGGGGGAGAGTAAGAGAGTTTGTTAGTTTGTTTTCTATTGGTGACGATTGATCCCCCTTCCCTTCCCCTTGAAAACCATGTGATCCTCCCAAACATTCTCTACCCCCCACCCCAGGAGATAAAATTTGACCGGTTTCAATACGTAAGGAATAAAAATCATATTCATGTTATCACTTACCGTTAAAACGCAGGTGAAGAATTTCTTGAGTTTTGGAACACATCGCTTATTGAAAGCGCAGCATCTGTTGTAACTGCAATCTTCTTCGGTGAGGCACCTCTAATTCATGAAGCAAAGAAAATTTCGTGACGAATTAGCGCTACTCCAAATGTTTTCGTTCAAGCCAAGTTTCAAACTTACGTTGAAGAATAGCCAGCGCTTTATCCTCATGGGTGCATCCGCTGCCTGGTTATCAAGGTCGATCGACTCCACTTCGATATCCACATCTCCCGGCATGCACTGCTTGACGGGAGTCTCGATTCCATGTTCTATCACTTTCTTAGTGAGAACGCAAGAAAGACCATCCTGGCAACTGCAGTCTCCTTCCTAGGCACAGAAGAGGAGATGCGAGAGAAAAAAAAGGAAAACAAAAAGAATCTCAGCTTATGACCTATACTTCAAGAGGAACTCGACATGTCGTTCGTCGTATGAAGAACGAGCTCAACGAAGAAAAAGTGTTAGGAAGGCCTTTTCTGTGCCTTGCGTTATTTCTCTATCTTGGAGGCATCGGTTTTTGTTGTCTTGCTCTTTGAAGGTACAATTATAAGTCGTAGAAAAATGGCGCAAAACTATTGTGACCTGGGTCGCTAAGGATTTATTTTTTGATGGTGTTACTGGGCAGGACGCTACAAAATACGGGTCTCTTCGTGACAACTATATGAACCTAATCCGAGATAGAATTGTTGGTAAGTTCCTAAGAGTTGAAGCTAACAGACTTCTAAAAGACAACCCTAGCCTTAATGGTATTGAAAAATCTAATTTCATCTGACTTATATGTTTACTCACCGGCTTGTTACAAACTGAAAGTTCAGGAAGTTTTGAACATCCCTGTAAATTAATAAATATGTACAAATAAGTGTGTGGAGGGACTGGAATGGGAAATTTACCAACCAGGATCAAACAAAAACAACAACCAGAACAGAACAAGTAGCATGACCATTTTCCAAGTTTGCCCAAGTTTCAAAAAAAGTTCGTTTTACCGGCTTTTTTCCAGTTTTCCTCGAATGACTTCGAAAGATAAAATGGACAGAGTTCAAATGTTAATTGAATCTCTATAAAGTATTTAAAAATGAATTATTTAGAGATTTAGTAAAGAAGAAAAAAACGCGTTTTTCTTACAAATATTCTGATCCAGTTTGATAGAATCAAACTCAGTTTTAGCGGTATTTGTCTAAAATTGATTTAACAGATGATGCAGAAAAATATATCATAAATTCCTCGAAACTCACCAAAGCAAGTGAAATGCTTAAGCTCAAAATCAGGATAGTAGTCTTCATGTCTTCCCCGCTTGACTGGAAGAGCCTAAAGTATAGAAAGATTTAGTTCACACTCTAATGGGGCATTCTGACTGAGAAGTTGTTTTTTATACTTCACTATTTTTAAAACAATCTGAAGGACAGCATTTTCACAGGAATCATTCAAAAGCAAGAGTACTTTAAACATCGTGTGTAAACGAAAACTGTCAATGTAACACTGTGTTTTTCCAACTGTTTGTTACGCACACAACGAAAGGGTCATCGAAACGTAAGCGTTTGGAACCGTTGATGTCAGACAAGTGTTTTGCATCGTGTCCGCGCATAATAGTATTATTTCATGTGTCGTAAGACAAAATTAACATTGTAAGGTAGTACTCGACACCTCTGCTATACAAACACATCTGTATATTGGAACAAAGAGTCCTTTGCACGATAACCTTTGCACCGACTAAAGGTTGTTTAAGCCAAATACCGAAATCCATGGACTGCACTTTTTCAAAGCATCAATCCATATCGAGGAGGTTTTTTTTTGTAATGTCAAGTAATCTAAATGTCTTTATCTGCTTTTTCCTTTTACTCTTGGTACAGAAAATATACTGACCACCAATATCTCTAAAGTAGTGATCATGAAACCTTCCGTGAACATTGTCGAAAACAGCATTCAAAAGGTCTATGAAACGAGATTTAAGTTTGCGTATAAGGATGTAAAAGATACAGAGTAAAGGGAAAAAACGGTATTTGCTCAAGGGGATACATCAATTCACATTCTCTTGTCTTCGTATCTGGCTTGTATAGTTTTATCTTTTCATTTTTACAGCATAAAAATGAAAACGAGAATTTGTTGCCACCAAACAAAGGGAGTGTACAACGTTCTCTAAAAAGAAGGAAAAGTTTTTTTAAGAAATAGAACTTTTAATTAAACATTCAAAATGGAGCGAAAAACTTCTTTTTTCAACTGAAATAGAATAGAGGATTTATGAAGCATGCAGCATACCCGCCTCCACCTAAAATATCCAGGAGTACCCCCACCCCCAGCCCCCTCAACCACTGGTTTTGCTGTATATGCTGCACGCCTACAGCGGATTTTTTTAAGAGTTTACTCACCCCTACTCCTCAGCAAGTGCGTCTGGCAAACAATGTTTTAAAACTCTGCTCAGTCCCCTCGCCAACACATTTCTCCCCGTTTCGCTATTGTACCTTTCAACACAAAGTTTTGGTGTGTAAAGCTAAGAGGACTGAGTACAAATAACACACGACTGAGGTGGCATTGCAGCTGAACAACTTTGCACTGTTTAGAGACGCATTTTGCGAACATACATAACTTCCCAACACTAACAAACAGAATACGTTCTCTCAAAGTGCTTTACACACCACGCAGTTGAACAAGCTTCATTTCATTTTAGTTTAAACTTGATGTTTTAAAATACTTATCCCCGCTTTGCAGTCCTTGAGTAAACTGCAAAACATACCACTTCAGGGTTTTTCTCGAAAACTTTAAAAGCAGGGCACAAGGGTCTCTAGTCACAATTTGTTTCATCAAGACTATAGCCTCTCAGTTGTGAGCGATTCTTCCATTCACTCAAACTCAAGCCATGAAGATCTTTATTTTGCTGAGCCTTTCTGTCACTCTCACTTTGGTGAGTTTTCAAAAGTTGAAACGTTTCATTTCGACGGGTTTAATAGTCTATCCTTCCTCTTCAGTAGAATGAAGAGAACTATTAATTCATATTTCCAACCAAATCACGCGTTTTGCGAACTTTATTTGGAGAGCCAATTATGATGCATTTGTTTCTTTCAGGGATGTTCAAATCTTCCTGAACTTGCAGCTTGCAACAGAGAGGTGAGCCGAAATCTTATCTTTCAGGGCGTTGATTAATATTTATGGTAATGATACTGGTAGTAACTTCGTATGACTGTGAAAATTTTAATTGAGTTATCAAAAGTGTTCCGGGAGTCCTTGCTTCTGTTTAAAGTTTGCTCGATGATTAGTCCAGAAAACTCCCGTTTCAGTCTTAACAACTGAATTACACTCAAAGCTAAAATGTGATGCGATGGGGCTCTTCCTCAAATTTTCGTGAAACAGGAAGGGGGCACCACAGCCCGTCCCACCGCCACCTAAGCTTCTGCCTCAAGGTTGATACAGTATTTTTGTCCAAGAGGCTGTTAGTGCGGGCGTGTCTGTTCATATCGCATTAGTTACACTCATGTCACGTGATTCTTCTACCAGGGGGGGGACTGCAGCTGTCAAACCGGCTTGTCCTGTGTTCTGACCAAAAAGTTGATCTACCAAGGACAAATGACAGACGTCAAACAGTGCATGCCAGAGGGGATGGAGATTGAAGTGGAAACAGTCGATCTTGACGAGGAAGGTGCCGTTACTCACATGAAGAAGAAACGCTTTTTGTTTAATGGACTCCTTAAGGTAGGACGGATTAGATTGAATTAACTATATTAAACAGAGTCACACTTCGCAATTGAGTCTTTTCCTCCTAAGATTGTAAAACGGCTTAAAAAAAAACAGGGAAGGCCAGGAATTACACTGAACGAGCGTCAAGCACATGAAAAGCACGTGAAAATCATACGAAAAGCATGTACAAAGCACGTGAACGAGTCGTGTCTTGCGTCTAATTGCTCTATAAGATTAAGGAATGTTAATTCCGTTAAATTCACTTAATGATAAAGCCATAGTTCGTTCTTGTCCTAAACTTCGAGTTCAATGAATGTTACTATTTTTTTGTAAAAACAGAGATGCACAACTCAAACTGACTGCGGAGAAGACCAGTGTTGTTTGTTCAACAAAAGGTGCGCTCCAAAACTTCGGAAGTACTTCACATGTTATTTAACGGTTAGTATAAAAATGATGGTTGGCATTATTCCGTATAGACCAAGCATAGTATGAGCAAAAACATGGGTGATATGAGTTACAATCTCGTTAAGACTAAGACTCTGACTTTGTTATTATTTTCAGAGTCCGTCTTTATCATGATTTCTCATGTAAATAATTTTTAAATAATAACATGATTTCGAATGCAATTTGATGTAAAGAAGCAATTATAAATTGTTCAAAGATTACACATTCCACTAGCCTCACAGGCTCGTGCAATTTTATTGTCTTTGAAAAACCTTTGCTCGTGCTTATTAACACCAAATTGCACTCGAAATCGTGTTATTGCCAATAATTATCATTTTATCATTTTCATTATCGTTTTATTACCATTTTTTATCATAATAATCATAACTATTATCATTGTCTTATTTATTTTTCCAGCACCTTCACAAGTGCGGTTGCCTTGATGGCCTGGTTTGTACCGAAACAGCCTCCTTCACCATTCCTCTGACTGGGATCAGGGTTGCCCTGAGGCAGTGCATGTAACTCGTACCAGCCTCTTGATCGAAACAAAGTAATCATCAGATGGGAAGACAAAACTAGACATGTAACGCTTAGAAGCATTTAAGTGAATGAAATAAAGAAAGTCTTCAAAATGACTTGGAAAATTATTTGCTGAAGTCTATTAACAAAGACTCTTTTACTTAGAACACTTTATTGACCTGCAGCCTAAGATCAGAACTCGATCGATCTTTTTTTTCGTTTAGCAAACTAAAGGCGAAAATAGTAAATTTGTATAGGATACCAGTCATATAGTTCTGAAAACTTTTTAACTAATTCTCTCCAAAAACAATTAAAGTCAAAATCGTATATTTTAGAATGCAACTTATGACATCATAGCTCGTTACGATGACAGCATATTCGTCCAAACTCGGGTAGGAAAATGAGGAACAGGTGTTGATATCAAAGCAAACTGGGAAGTAAAGTTTGCTGCATAAACGAAAGAAATAGAGGAGCAGATGTGTAACAGAAAAGCACACTCACTAGATATTTTGATTTTTAATCAGGCAGGGGTTCCAACTAGGATTTAAAAAAACACGAGAAAGCTTTTCGTGGCAAATTACATCTCAAATAACGTAAATGAAAAAATTACGCGATACGAACAACACCCACCATATTTCAACCATTTCTTATTGCTTAAAAAGTAAACTTTGATTGATGAAATAACACACACTGTTAACTTTTTCACTCCCATGAGTAACTAAGACAGAGTTTCTCCTCGCAATATTGATATAATATCAAGGAACAAGTGATGAAAAGAAAGAAAAATATCAGTTATGGGATTATTAGTTGATCTAATACCAAATTCTCAAAAGCTTGCATAATAAGAATGGCATGACAGACATTAAGGAGAATTACTTACAAGATATTGGGAATAACTGAGGTACAATTCATGGTCTCGTCCAGCAGATTGGCTTTCCATTTTATGTCAAGCAGCTGAAAAAGTCGTAGATACATTAATTCAAAAGACCAAACGTCTCATAAAATCTTCAAGATTTATATCATTCAATGGTTATGAAATGTTCGCCGTGTAAAAGGCTATAATTTGCCTGTATGTAAACAATAGACTTTCCTCGTATTATTCCATTCGTCGAAGATTTGTCCAAGGAGTTTTTCAGCCTCCTGTAATAGACACTTAAGCATATTATTTACTCTAGCACTAACAACTTAATGCAATAATGTTGGTTGAGCTGTGTTTGTAGACATACACTGTGAACACACCCATAAGTCGTATTGAAGTATTTAGAAATCTTAGAGCGGCCAATTTGAGAATTTTGTACCAGAAAAAAAGATTATAGAAAAGTTTCCATGCATACAAACAACGGATTATTGAAGCGCGCTCTAAAACATTCAAAGTTCTCTCCATAACAAATAGTTTCTTTTGTGTCATTTCTCACCATGAAAATTTAAGGCAGGAATGTAACTGAATTGTAATTGTGTTTGATGTATTTGCCGTAGCTTTCAACATTCAGGGCAGAAAATGTTTATTCTGCCGAGAAGAACATATTGCAAATATTTCAGAATGGGCTCTGCATGTTTTCTCTAATCCTTTCAACAAACAGCTAAGCTAATTTTTATTTTACATGGACAGTTTTCGTTTGAACGTTTTGTTTAAAGACACTCAGATTATTAGTAATGTTGTAAAAGCTACTTCCTACTCACTGTGATTCAAAGCTATAAAAGAGACAAAACAGCAGATCACAGCACTCAACTTTACCAGAAGTTTACTTGGATCTGAGAATTTCTATAAATTGTTTCACTGAAGTCATGAAGATTCTCATCATTTTGAGTTTTTGCGCTACAGCTGCTTTGGTAAGCTCACAGCAACTTGCAAAAATAATTAGGTTAATTTCCTTAACCCTTTACCTCTCAAGATCCGATTGTCAATTCTCGCCTCTAGCTGCTATACATTTCCTTGAAAATTATTAACGAGAATTTGGTGCTACATGTAGACCAAGATAACAACTTCTGCCTGATAAGTTTGAGAATTCTCATAAGGATATTATAGGGAGACGTTGTATGTTAATCAACTCTGAGATCTTCAATACATATTTCCAGTAAGGGAAATGTACTTTCTCTCCTAAAGCGGGAGAGGTTTTGAAACAATTCTGTTGGAGGCGTCACAGGAGCTACTTTTTTGTGTTATTAGAAGTGAATGTTTTATTTCTTTTTTCTGATGTGTCCAAAATTTCGATTTCCTCCCCTTGGATACGTGCCATGTATGCGCGAGAAATGAGAAAGAAAGATATTTCTGTGATAACATAGCCCTAGAAGTTGGTACGTACAAGGCAGTCTTTCATGAAATCATGTTTAACTGAATGGTTTGCTTTTGTTCTTTACCTCTAGGGATGCGGTAATCTTCCCAAATTAGCGGCTTGCAACATTGCAGCGGTAGGTGACTGAATGCTACTAGAGGCTTTTCAGATTGTTTGGGTGGTTGAAAGTATCAGAGAAGAATAAAAATTTGTATTATAATGAAAAAAAGACACAGTCTTGGCATGAAGAGGATGTCACGAGAAGGCGTGGAGGAAAAAACGCTTCAGATCAAAATTTATGTGTATACATGAGAAAGAATGGACTGAGACATGGAAAAGATAAAGAAATTAAAATTTATACGATAAGCTGAATTATACACACGTTTTGATTGGTTTTTGCACACAGACGTATAGCATTTTGCTTTTTTATCTTATAAAACAATTTCATTCCATGTTGCCGTGGGTCTGTTCAGTAATAGATCACAGTTGACGTTAAAATGTGTTGTTTTGTTATTTCAGGGCGGAGGAGACTGTAGCTGCCAAGCCGGTTTGTCCTGTATGTTAACTAAGAACATGATCTACAATGGACAGGTTATTCCTGTGAAACAGTGCATGCCAGAAGGAATGGACATTGAGGTGGAAGAGGTTGATCTGGATAATCAGTCTGCAGACGAACCCATGAGGACAAAACGATTTCTATTCAACGTAAGAATTTTAATC